GCCTCCACCTGTAAAACCATTCCTGTTTTGGGGGTCGTCTCATTGTTGCCCATCTAGTGCAACTTTGTTAATTTCATTAACACCAAAGCAGCTTACACTGATTAACAACCCCCTCTGCTACTTACCTGACCAGATTAATATCCCAGGAGTTTAATTCACTTACATAGTTAGTCTGGATGAAAAAAGACAAAAGTCCATCCAGTTCAACCATAAAAAAACAAAGTTATAATCCTACACCCACAGTTGATCCAGAGGAAGGCAAAAAACCCAGCAAAGCATGATCCAATTTGCTCCTGCAGGGAGAAAAATTCCTTCCTGATCCCCCGAGAGGCAATCGGATATTCCCTGGATCAACTTTACCTATAAATGTTATATCCAGTTATATTCTGTGTATCTAAGAAACAATCCAGGACTTTTTTAAAGCAATCCACTTGATGCTATACTCTGATTAACCACTTGCCTACAGGGTACTTATACCCCCTTCCTGCCCAGGCCAATTTTCAGCTTTCAGCACTGTCACACTTTGAATGCCAATTGCGCGGTCATGCAGCATTGTACCCATATGATATTTGTATATTTTTTTCATACAAATAGAGATTTCTTTTGGTGGTATTTAATCGCCACTGAGTGTTTTATTTTTTGTGCTATAAACAAAAAAAGAGCAACAAATGTGGAAAAAAAAGCTTTTCTTTGTTTCTATTATAAAATTTTCTCCTTCACTGATGTGCATTGATAAGGCTGCAATGATAGGCAGCAATGATGGACACTGATAGGCTGCACTGATGGGCACTGATAGGCTGCACTGATGAGGTGGCACTTGCGGGCATTGATGAGGATGCACTGATGATGCTGCACTGATAGGTGGCACTGATGGACACTGATAGGTGGCACTGATGGGCAACACTGAATGTTAGCCCTGACTGGCAGCACTGACTGATGGCTCTGACAGGAGGCACTGCTGGGCACTGATAGGCAGCACTAATGGGTGGCACTGCTGGGGGCACTGATGGGTGGCACTGCTGGGCACTGATGGGAGGCACTGCTGGGCACTGGTGAGTAGCACTGCAGGGTGGCACTGCAGGGTGGAACTGCAGGGCACTGATGATCAGAACACTGATCATCAATGGCCTGATGATCAGTGCCGATCTCCTCTGTGACAGCTGCTGGTTATCGGCAGTACTTTCCTCACGCTGTGACAGTGTGAGGAAAATGCTGCCGATAACCAGCAACTGTATAACCTGGGTGCGCCCCGTGGGGGCGCACAGGAGGACACATTCTCGGAGGACATCATATGATCCCCTCCCAGAACTGGGTAACTGCGCTGTAGCCATCATTAGGCTATAGCGTGGTTACCAAGTGGTTAAAAAGTGTTCCTTTAATTTTTTGAGCAGTGTATATACACGTACATACACACACACACTCTTATAAATAAATGTAAACAGACATTTTAAAATGTATTAAAACATGGACAGTGTCAATAGAGCAGTGGCGGTGAGAGTAGAGAAGCAGACATGCCAGTAGGGCAGAGGTTGGTGTCAGCAGAGAAGTGAATGGTGTCAGTAGGGCAGAGGTTGGTGTCAGTAGAGAAGTGGATGGTGTCAGTAGGGCAGAGGTTGGTGTCAGTAGAGAAGTGGATGGTGTCAGTAGGGCAGAGGTTGGTGTCAGTAGAGAAGTGGATGATGTCAGTAGGGCAGAGGTTGGTGTCAGTAGAGAAGTGGATGATGTCAGTAGGGCAGAGGTTGGTGTCAGTAGAGAAGTGGATGATGTCAGTAGGGCAGAGGTTGGTGTCAGCAGAGAAGTGGATGATGTCAGTAGGGCAGAGGTTGGTGTCAGTAGAGAAGTGGATGGTGTCAGTAGGGCAGAGGTAGGTGTCAGTAGAGAAGTGGACGGTGTCAGTAGGGCAGAGGTTGGTGTCAGTAGAGAAGTGGATGATGTCAGTAGGGCAGAGGATGGTGTCAGTAGAGAAGTGGATGGTGTCAGTAGAGAAGTGGATGGTGTCAGTAGGGCAGAGGTTGTAGTCAGTAGAGAAGTGGATGGTGTCAGAAAGGCAGAGGTTGGTGACAGTAGAGAAGTGGATGGTGTCAGTAGGGCAGAGGATGGTGTCAGTAGAGAAGTGAATGGTGTCAGTAGGGCAGAGGTTGGTGACAGTAGAGAAGTGGATGATGTCAGTAGGGCAGAGGTTGATGTCAGAAGAGAAGTGGATGGTGTCAGTAGGGCGGAGGTTGGTGTCAGTAGAGAAGTGGATGGTGTCAGTAGGGCAGAGGTTGGTGTCAGTAGAGAAGTGGATGATGTCAGTAGGGCAGAGGTTTATGTCAGTAGAGAAGTGGATGGTGTCAGTAGGGCAGAGGTTTGTGTCAGTAGAGAAGTGGATGGTGTCAGTAGAGCAGAGGTTGGTGTCAGTAGAGAAGTGGATGGTGTCAGTAGGGCAGAGGTTGGTGACAGTAGAGAAGTGGATGGTGTCAGTAGGGCAGAGGTTGGTGTCAGTAGAGAAGTGGATGGTGTCAGTAGAGCAGAGGTTGTGTCAGTAGAGAAGTGGATGGTGTCAGTAGGGCAGAGGTTGGTGACAGTAGAGAAGTGGATGGTGTCAGTAGGGCAGAGGTTGGTGTCAGTAGAGAAGTGGAGGGGGTGTCAGTAGGGCAGAGGTTGGGTGTCAGTAGAGAAGTGGATGGTGTCAGTAGGGCAGAGGTTGATGTCAGTAGAGAAGTGGATGGTGTCAGTAGGGCAGAGGTTGGTGCAGGCTCTTACCATCTCCTGTAATATTCTGCAGTCTCTGACCATCTCCTGTATCATGTCTGCAGTCTTTGACCAACTCCTGAGATGGAGCTCTAATAGGAAGAAATGGATCTTAAACAGGAAGGGGTGGGACAAATTTAAATGTGGGGCGCCCGATTTTATTCTTGCCTAGGGCAGCACAAAACCAAAATACACCACTGCCTGTATAACCACTCAAAGTCCAGCGATGTACCAACATGTTGCTGGTCCATTTTGGGCATATATGTAACAGTAGAGAACATGGACATACAGTATGATGAATCCCGTCTGTGGACCAATATTCATTCTTTTTGGAATGCCCAAAAAAGTTTTTAAATTCAGAAACCGTGATAGGTTTCCATGTGAATTGTCTGGCAAGAGCTGAATTTGGGTGGGCGGCCATGTATTGTTGTGCGTATAAATTGCTTTGGCTCACAATCAATTCATACAAATCTTCAGTGAAAAACAGCGGAGGGGCTAAACACTAGTGCTGGCAGCGAACGGGGCTGATCCTGCGTGTGTTTTTGGGGACACTATACAAAGTAGGCACTAGTATAGTTCTGTTCGTGATCAATATATTGATCCGTACAAACAGTATAGTATGGCGGTGACATTGTATCACTCTGGGGAGGTGATCAGGGATTTTTTTTTTTAACGCTTTGCATTGCAGGAGCAATAAAGATTGCTCCTGCAATGCAATGCTTGCTTTGAACTGTCATGAACAGGTTAGGTTCATGACAGTTCAAAATACAGTGATCTGTGATTGGCTCCAGCTGGTCACATGGTACAAGGTGCTGTGATTGGCCCATGTACCATAAGAGAGAGCTGTGGGCCAATCACAGTTCTCCAGGAACAGAAGAAAAGCTGTTATGAATCAGATTGGTTCATAACAGCTTTACTGGCATTGTGATCATGTGATTGCATAGTGATCACCAGGTCCGGATTACCGGGATCCACATTCCGCTATGTGCAGTGGACACAGATGCCCCCCCCCCCCCCCCCCCATAAGTACAGGCAGAGTGACGTACTGGTACATCGCTTTACCTGTAGCTGCCGCCTGTCCATAGTAAAATTACTGTGGGGGTTGGCAAGTGATTGTGGCAGCCCAGACATTGATCTTTTTTTTTTTTTCATTCATCCAGCAGGATGAATGAAAAAAAAAATGTTCCAAATCCCCCATCCACACATTTGATGTGGACGAGGGATTCCTTCCCGATGTGGTAGTATATTCTGGCAGCAGAGATCCTTCCCTAACCTACAATGATCAATGTTGCAGGCTAAAGCCGGCAGTGATTATCGTTCATGAAAAACCCTAAAGGCTGGTTGTACAAAAGTTGATCTATCGATCGACTGGTGTACAACCAACCACCCCTGGCTGAATTTTGATCCATGTATGGCCGGCTTAAGGGTGTCTTCCTGTCTATATGTCTGTGTGTCTGTCTGCATATTTATACACTATAATGTCAAAAGTATTGGGACACCTGCCTTTACACACACCCAGGGGCGGACTGACCATTTGGAAACTCGGGCCCTGCCCAAGGGCCCGGGGTCAGTAGGGGGCCCCATGAGATGCCCTTGGTACCTTTTTCATAGGCTTTTTTGAGTTTGGGCAAGGACACAGGGGCCCCATGATCCCCTATTGCCCAGGGGCCCCATGAGTTGTCAGTCCGCCCCTGCACACACCTGAACTTTAATGGCATCCCAGGAACGGATGTCGGACGAGAAGGTCTGGCTCGCAGCCTCCGCTCTAATTCATCCCAAAGGTGTTCTATTGGGTTGAGGTCAGGACTCTGTGCAGGCCAGTCAAGTTCCTCCACCCCAAACTGGCTCCTCCATGTCTTTATGGACCTTGCTTTGTGCACTGGTGCGCAGTCATGTTGGAACAGGAAGGGGCCATCCCCAAACTCTCCCCACAAAGTTGGGAGCATGAAATTGGCCAAAATGTCTTGGTATGCTGACACCTTAAGTGTTCCCTTCACTGGAACTAAGGGGCCAAGCCCAACCCCTAAATAACAACCCTACACCATAATCCCCCCTCCAACAAACTTTACACTTGGCACAATGCAGTCAGACAAGTACCATTCTCCTGGCAACCACCAAACCCAGACACCTCCATCAGAGGAGCGTGATTGCTCACTGCACAGAACACGTCTCCACTGCTCTAGAGTCCAGTGGTGGCATGCTTTACACCACGGCATCCAACACTTTGCATTGCACTTGGTGATGTAAGGCTTGGATGCAGCTGCTCGGCCATGGAAACTTATTCCATGAAGCTCTCTACTCACTATTGTTGTGTTAATCTGAAGGCCACACGAAGTTTGGAGGTTTTTAGATATTGACTCTGCAGACAGTTGGCAACGTCTGCGTATTGCACGTTTCAGCGTGTGCTGACCCCGCTCTATCATTTTACATGGCCTACCACTTGGTGGCTGAGTTGCTGTTGTTCCCAGTTGCTTCCACTTTATTACAATACCACTAACAGTTGTCCGTGGAATATTTAGTAGCCAGGAAATGTCACGGATGGACTTATTGCACAGGTGGCAACCTATCACAGGACCACGCTTGGAGTCACTGAGCTCCTGAGAGCGACCCATTCTTTCACAAATGTTTGTAGAAGCAGTCTGCATGCCTAGGTGCTTGATTTTATACACCTGTGGCCATGGAGGTGATTGGAACACAAAAAAAACAAGGAGGGCTTCACAGTGACTGATCACTGTAATAGCCAATCAGAGGCTATCACAGCGCTCATGTGACCCGGAATTGGGAGTCCTGGGTCCCTACCGTTACACCGGGACCCAGGGCTCCAGTGACACACCCCGGTCTTTGTGCTGGGAGCGTGCCATGCGGCCCGTTCCCAGCACAAAGACAGGTATGCAAATATGAAAAAAGCCCAGTTCTGTGAGGCCGCATATTTGTGTGATGTCAGCGTTAAGGGGTTAAGGTTTGGGGCTGTTTCTCTGCTAAAGGTACAGGCTGACTGCCACATTGAGGGACCAATGGACGGGGCCATTTATTGTAAAATCTTGGATGAGAACCTTCTTCCCTCAGCCAAAACAGTGAATATGGGTTGTGGATGGATCTTCCAGCATGACAATGACCCAAAACATACCACCAAGGCAACAAAGGAGAGGCTCAAGAAGAAGCACATTAAGGTCATGGAGTGGCCTAGCCAGTCTCCAGACCTTAATCCTACAGAAAATTTGAAGTGCAGCTTCAACCAAAAGCGGAAGTTCTACTTTAAGGACTGGTCCCCCGCTCCCCATTAGAGATTGGCACCTTTGAGGAGTGGGGAGGGGAGCGAGTACCCAAAATTGACAGATACCCGCTCCCACTTCCGCTGCGATCGTCCTAGGCTATCAGAAGTGGAAGTTGTCCTACCGCCTCCCTCCCTGTAGTCTTCCGGGACACGTGACAGGTCCCAGAAGACTACGGGACTATTCACAAAGTGCAGCATTTCTTGCGCGCATGCGCAGTGGGAAGCCACAAGTTGTCACAACCGGGTGCCCACGCTGAAGGTGCCGGGAACACAGGGCGACTGGTGAAACCGGCTGCAGAAGGGACACTGCGGAATCAAGGGACAGGTAAGTGTCCATTTTTTAAAAGTCAGCAGCTACAGTTTTTATAGCAGCTTTTTTTTTTTTCTATTTCACTGGAACTCCACTTTAAGGATTTAGAGATCTGTAAAGAGTGGACCACAATCCCTCCTGAGATGTGTGCGAACCTTGTAATCAACTTTAAGAAATGTCTTACCTCTGTACTTGCCAACAAGGGTTCCTCCACCAAGTACTAAGTCATGTTTTGCCTGGGGATCAAACACTTTACTCACTGAACTGCAACTCAATTTATAACATTTGTACCATGTGGTTTTTCTGGATTTTTGGTTGATAATCTGTCTCTATCATTTAAAATACACCTATGATAATAATGATAGACCCTTCATTTCTTTGTAAGTGGGCAAATTTACAAAATCTGAAGGGGATCAAATTATTTTTTCCCCACTGTACATGTCTATTATTATTATTATACAGGATTTATATAGCGCCAACAGTTTGCTCAGCGCTTTACAATATAACGGGAGACAATACAGCAACAATACAGTTCAATACAAGAGGGATAGGAGGGCCTGATCCTGGGAGATTACAATCTAAGAGGGAGGGGATAGTAGTACAAAAGTAATAACTGTAGGTGATAGACTGGTAGGAGGAGTAAAAGATTCCATTAGGATAAGATTCCCTGAAGAGGTTTTCAGAGATCGCCTAAAAAAGTGAGCAGAGTAGGCGATGGTCTGATAAATTGGGGTAGAGAGTTCCAGAGGATAGGGGAAGCTCTGGAGAAGTCCTGGAGACGAGCATGGGAGGAAACAAGGGAGCTAGAGAGCAAGAGGTCGTGCGAGGAGTGGAGAGTTTGGTTTGGGTTATATTTGGAGACAAGATTGGTGATGTAATTTGGGTGATGTCTATGTATCTGTCTGTCTGTGTCAGGGGCGAACTGACAACTCATGGGGCCCCTGGGCAATAGGGGATCATGGGGCCCCTGTGTCTTTGCCCAAACTCAAAAAAGAGTATGAAAAAGGTACCAGGGGCATCTCATGGGGCCCCCTACTGACCCAGTGCCCGAGTTTCCATATGGTCAGTCTGCCCCTGGTCTGTGTACCAGTCCATGTGTATCTAGTGTCTTTATGTCTGTGGATCTGTCTGTTCCATGTGTCTGTCTGTTCTATATGTCTGTCTGTATATCTATATCTGTCTGCTCTCTATGTCTATATCTGTCTATATATCTCATATACTGTATCTATTTAGTGTCTGTATGTCTGTCTGTCTCACTGTATGTCTGTGGGTCCCTCTGTTCTCTGTCTATAATATGTCTGACTGTCTATCCATATGTCCATGTGTCTGTGGGTCCCTCTGTTCTCTGTCTATATGTATGTCTGTCTGTCTCACTGTATGTCTGTGGGTCCCTCTGTTCTCTGTCTATATGTATGTCTGACTGTCTATCCATATGTCCATGTGTCTGTGGGTCTGTCTGTTCTCTGTCTATATGTCTCTATATACTGCAACTATCTAGTGTTTGTTTGTCTATCTCTATGTGTCTTCCTTTCTATCTACTGTCTTTATATCTGTGGATCTGTCTGTTCTATGTGTCTCTCTATGTTTGTTCTATATGTCTGTGTGTCTTTCTGTATATCTATGTGTCTCTCTATCTGTCTATCTATATGTCTGTCTGTCCTGTATGTCTATATCCGTCTATATGTGGCTATATACAGTATCTGTCTAGTGTCTGTCTATCTCTATGTTTGTGGGTCCCTCTGTACTCTCTGTCTATAGAGTATTTCTCTCCATCTATAGGTGTCTATATACCATATGTATTTCCATCTATAGGTGTTTATATACAGTATGTCTCTCTGTTTATATGCATCTATATACAGTATTTCTGTCTGTCTATAGGTGTCTGTATACACTTGCAGTCTGTCTTTCTGTCTGTCTATAGGTGTCTGTATACAGTATGTCTCTCTGTCTATAGGCGGTCTGTATACAGTATGTCTCTCTGTCTATAGGTGTCTGTATACAGTATGTTTGTCTGTCTATAGGTGCCTGTACACAGTATGTATGTATGTCTCTTTGTCTATAGGTGCCTGTATACCATATGTCTGCCTATAGGTGACTGTATATAGTATATGTATGTCCATCTATAGGTGTCTGTACACAGTATGTATCTGTCTATAGGTGACTGAATACAGTATGTCTGTCTATAGGTGTCTATATACATTTACAGTGGTCTGTCTATAGGCGACTGTATACAGTATGTCTGTATGTCTCTCTGTCTATAGGTGTTTGTGCACAGTATGTTTGTATGTATCTCTATAGGTGTCTGCATACAGTATATGTCAGTCTGTCTATAGTGTCTGTATACAGTATGTCTGTCTATAGGTGTCTGTATACAGTATATGTTGATCTATCTATAGTGTCTATATACAGTATGTCTGTATGTCTCTCTGTCTATAGGTGTCTGTATACAGTCTGTTTGTATATGTTGGTCTGTATAGTGTCTATAGTGTCTATATACAGTATGTCTGTATGTCTCTCTGTCTATAGGTGTCTGTATACAGTCTGTCTGTCTATAGGTGTCTGTATACAGTCTGTATCACTCTGTGTCTATAGGTGTCTGCATACAGTATGTCTGTATGTCTGTCTGTCTATAGGTGTCTGTATACAGTATGTCTGGCTATAGTTGTCTGTATTAAGTCTGTCTGTCTATAGGTGTCTGTATACAGTCCATATCTCTCTCTGACTATAGGTGTCTGTATACAGTCTGTCTGTGTCTATAGGTTTCTATATACAGCATGTATGTATGTCTCTCTGTCTATAGATGTCTGTACACAGTATGTCTGCCTATAGGTGACTGTATACAGTGTATATGTCGGTCTGTCTATGGGTGTCTGTATACCATCTGTATCTCTCTCTGTCTATAGGTGTCTGTATACAGTATGTCTGGCTATAGGTGTCTGTATAGTCTGTATCTCTCTCTGTCTATAGGTGTCTGTATACTGTCTGTATCTCTGTCTATAGGTGTCTGTATACAGTATGTCTGGCTATAGGTGTCTGTATACAGTCTGTATCTCTCTCTGTCTATAGGTGTCTGTATACAGTCTGTCTGTCTATAGGTGTCTGTATACAGTCTGTATCTCTGTGTCCCTATACAGTATGCCGGCCTATAGGTGACTGTATACAGTGTATATGTCAGTCTGTCTATATGTGTCTGCATACAGTATGTCTGTACCTCTCGGTCTATAGGTGTCTGTATACAGCATGTATGTATGTCTCTCTGTCTATAGATGTCTGTACACAGTATGTCTGCCTATAGGTGTCTGTGTACAATGTATATGTCGGTCTGTCTATAGGTGTCTGTGTACAATGTATATGTCGGTCTGTCTATAGGTGTCTGTGTACAGTGTATATGTCGGTCTGTCTATAGGTGTCTGTGTACAGTGTATATGTCGGTCTGTCTATAGGTGTCTGTGTACAGTGTATATGTCGGTCTGTCTATAGGTGTCTGTGTACAATGTATATGTCGGTCTGTCTATAGGTGTCTGTGTACAATGTATATGTCGGTCTGTCTATAGGTGTCTGTGTACAATGTATATGTCGGTCTGTCTATAGGTGTCTGTGTACAATGTATATGTCGGTCTGTCTATAGGTGTCTGTGTACAATGTATATGTCTGTCTGTCTATAGGTGGCTGTGTACAGTGTATATGTCTGTCTATAGGTGTCTGTATACAGTGTATATACAGTCTGTCTGTCTATAGGTGTCTGTATACAATGTATATACAGTCTGTCTGTCTATAGGTGTCTGTATACAGTGTATATACAGTCTGTCTGTCTATAGGTGTCTGTATACAATGTATATACAGTCTGTCTGTCTATAGGTGTCTGTATACAATGTATATACAGTCTGTCTGTCTATAGGTGTCTGTATACAATGTATATACAGTCTGTCTGTCTATAGGTGTCTGTATACAGTGTATATACAGTCTGTCTGTCTATAGGTGTCTGTATACAGTGTATATACAGTCTGTCTGTCTATAGGTGTCTGTATACAATGTATATACAGTCTGTCTGTCTATAGGTG